GCCCCTGCCCATCTCCTCCTCCCTGCCCATCTCCCTCGCCCCTGCCCATCTCCTCCTCCCTGCCCATCTCCCTCGCCCCTGCCCATCTCCTCCTCCCTGCCCATCTCCCTCGCCCCTGCCCATCTCCCTCCACCCCTGCCCATCTCCCTCCACCTCTCTGCATCTCCTCACCTATCTGCCCATCATGACACTGCCTGTCCCCCACCTTGCCCAGGTATACGCACAGTTGGGCTCCAGGCTGGTGCCAACACTATCATCTCCGCCGGAGGCCCCTCATGCCTGTGGCCAGATCTTGGAAAGGACAGAAGAGCAGGTTTGGGGCTGACACACCCCAGCCCTTCCTCACCCGCCCCTTCACCTCCCTGCCCCTCCCCTGCCCCTTGATGTGGCCAAGTTTCCGCCTCCTTCTCCCACGGGTTTCCTGCATGCGCCCCAGTTACGGTGAAAACTCCGCGTCTCCCCTTTCTAAGAACCCCGACAGACGATCCGGAACCCTCCCCAGGAACCCGACCCCCACTCCTCCTCCCTCGGCCCCAGCAGGGCTGCCCCGCCCCGCCCCTCGGGGACCCAGAGCCCCTTTCTCCTCCGGCACCAAGTCATTCCCAGCTGCATGTGGAAGGGGCCAGGCCTGTGACAGCCAGGGATCGAAAGTGAAAGAAAATTTTGGAGGGAGACAGTGCGCTGGGGTGGATCTGTCTGAGGCCAGCGGCGCCACCTGGCGGCAGCCCCGGGGGGCGCCCGGCCGGGAAGGCTGCGGTGGGCCAGTTCTCACAGGTAGGGAAGCCGGACTGAGGAGCTGGGGCTGGAACCCGGTCCAAGCAGAACCAATGCACGCAGGCCGAGGAGGTCACTCCGAGCTCTTCATTTTGTCCTTGGACGCCCCCGCCCCCAGTCATGTGACCTTGGCCTTTCGCTGCCCACAGTCCCGTCCCAGCGAATGTGTCGGCTGTCAAAATGCCCATGGAGTCCCTGCAGTCACTTCTCAGCACCCCAGCTGCCACCACCCGGGGTCTGCTACCATCTCCCCGCTGAACACCAGTGCGGCCTTCCCTCCTGCACCTGCCCAGCCTCTCCCCCGCTCCCCGCCGTCTGTTCCCCATACCCATATGTACCAGAGCTGCTTCCTGCCCCTCAAATGGAAAGACCAGGTCCTCACTGTGGCCCACACAGGCCTGCAAGACCCAGCCCGATCCCCCTCTGCCTTGGCCTCCTCCCTGTGCCCGGGACAAGCACACTCCTGCCCCAGGGCCTTTGCACTGGCAGATCCCTCAGCCTGAATACCCTCCCCCGGGACACCCACATGGCTCATGCCCCACCTCACTCAGGCCTTTGCTCACACACGCAGGCAAAGCCTTCCCCACCGCATGTCCCACGTTGTAAGCCTGCTCTGCCCTTTCCCTTGTCACATGTCACCGGACACACCCTGCACTCATCTTCTTTGCCCCCATCGGGACGTCAGTCCCAGGACCATGGGGGGTAGGTCTGTTTGAATCAGAGCAGGTGCTCAATCAATATTTGTTAAATAAATGCACAAGAACCAAGGGATCTGTTAGGGGCAGAAATAGAATAGTGGGGACTAGCTCCAGTTATAAGAAAAATCATGCTATGTTAACTGTGATTGTTCTGTTCTGATTAAAGCAAGCATATTCTGACCTGACTGGGAGTTGTAACACCACCAGCCCCCCCCCCGCCCCCCCCACACACACTCCCCCACATACACCTGGTAGTTAACTTCAGAATGTGGTCCATTTCCTTATCCAAGAACTGCCGATGATCATGGAAAGATTAACAACCGTGTTGCCGAAACAACGGAGTCCTGGATGGTAACCACCTGGAGGTACCCACCCTTTCCAGCCCCCGGCCCACGTCACCTGTAACCTGTAGCCCTTACACCTTGCCTACCTCCCCAGACCTGTAATTCCTACTTCCCCGTGCCATCTTTGTCCTTCTACCCAATGTAAGCAGCTGGCTTACGGGGCGGTGGGGGTGTGTAGAGCAGATTTTCATGAATGACCTGCTAATCTCCACATGATTCAACCCTGTCTCTGCTTAACTGGCTCAAGTAGTGACAGGCAGCCCAGGCCCATTCATTGTCCAGTTGCAGGTCCTGGCCCCGGCCTGGTAGCTGGAGAGCATCATCCCAATATAACAAGGTTGCAGGTTCGATCCCCGGTCAGGGCACATACCAGAATCAACCAATGAATGCATCGGTGAGTGGAACAACAAATTGATGTTTCTCTCGTTCCCTCCCTCTCTCTCTAAAATAAATAAATAAGCCCTAACCGGTTTGGCTCAGTGGATAGAGTGTCGACCGGCGGACTGAAGGGTCCCGAGTTCAATTCCAGTCAAGGGCATGTACCTTGGTTGCGGGCACATCCCCAGTAGGAGGTGTGCAGGAGGCAGCTGATGGATGTTTTTCTCTCATCGATGTTTCTAACTCTCTATCCCTCTCCCTCTCTGTAAAAAAATCAATAAAATATACATTTAAAAAATAAAATAAAAAGAGAAGGCATCTGGTCTGTTCCCTGGGAGCCAACATATAATCCCTCAGGAATTTCCCTAAGTGATAGGGGTCTTTGTTATTCATGAGCCCCACCCCCACCCAAGACTTCACCCAATGAGATGACTTGAGATGGGAGGCTGATCAGTCCCCAGAGACCAATCACATGATGAGAAGGTTGGGGCTCTGAGACCGAATATCAGCCTAACTTGCCAACCTTCCACCTCCCACCTGGGAAGGGATGTGGATGTGGGGGAGAGGAGGGTGCTAGACACCGAGTTCCACCTCTGCTCCCGCCTTGACAGGGCTTTGTCCTCTTCTGTCTCCTGTATGGACACTTGTCATTAGATTTAGGGTCCACCTGATAGCCCAGAATGATCTTTTCTGCAAAGACTGTTTTTCCAATAAGATCACACGCATAGGTCCCAGGGGTGAGGATGTAGACGTATCTTTTGGGGGATCACTATTCAACCCACGACAGTTCCCCCAAAGCTATTGTCCACCTGTGGGCCTTTGCACCTGCTGTCCCCTTGGCCTGGGATGCTCTCTGCCACATTCCCTTTTGAATTAAAAAAAAAAAGTTTTGCCCTAGCCGCTCACTGGATAGAGCATTGGTCTGCGGACTGAAGGGTCCCAGGTTCAATTTCGGTCAAGGGCACTTGCCTGGGTTGTGGGCTCGGTCCCCAGTAGAGGGTGTGCAGGAGGCAGCTGATCAATGATTCTCTCTCATTGATGCTTCTCTCTCTCCCCCTCTCTGAAATCAATAAAAAGATATATATTTAAATTTCTTTAAAAATATTTTTTAAAAATACATTTTCATTGATTTTCTACAGAGAGGAAGGGAGAGAGATGCGCCCGCAACCCAGGCACATGCTCTTCACCGGAATCGAACCTGGGACCCTTCAGTCCGCAGGCCGACGCTCTATCCATTGAGCCAAACCGGCCTCGACAAAATTTATTTATTTAAAAATATTTTTATTGAGTTCAGAAAGGGAGAGATAGAAACATCAATGATAAAGGAGAATCATTGATTGGCTGCTTCTAGTTTGCCCCACCATGGGGATCGAGGCCGCAACCTGGGAATGGAACCTTGACCTCCCGGTTCATAAGTGGACGCTCGACCACTGGGCCACACAGGCCGGGCTTCATCTGGTATTATAGTACATGACCCTTAGCTTGTATCTGTGTCTTTCAACTGGAGCTGAGCCTACCTGTCCTCTGCTTACGGACCCTCTGTGGTCCAGCCCCTGGGCTGATATGATTGGCCCAGAAGTGGACACCTGACCCAGGCTGGCCAATCAGATTTTCTTTTCCTCCTGGGGCTGTGGTGCCGCGTATCACTGGTGGTCTGGTGGTCTATACCGACCTGCTGCACTTGGCTTTGGCTGATTAAAGCATCAGAGTTGACAGGAAGGACACTGAGGCAGCCCATGGAATCTGGGAGGGAGCTGTCACGCCACAGATGGGAACGGGAGCCTTCCAGGGACTTTCCTCCAGCGCTCGCATTCCTGGGACGGTCATCTCCTTGGCGCGGCCCTAGTGACAGACTGACAGGTGTCCTTTCTCATTTGCTCCAAGGCCAAGATCAACCCCTAACTAAGAGCTAGCACTCGTTACACACATCCTGTGTACTCATCACAGCGTCAACCCGACAGAGTGTAACTATTAGCCCCTTTTACAGATAAGGAACCAGGCTCAGGGCGGCCACGAAGCTTTCCTAAAGTCACATGGCTACAAAGATCTGAACGAGCCCTAGGCGGTTCGGCTCAGTGGATAGAGCGTCGGCCTGCAGACTCAAGGGTCCCAGGTTTGATTCCGGTCAGGGGCATGTACCTTGGTTGCGGGCACATCCCCAGTGGGGAGTGTGCAGGAGGCAGCTGATTGATGTTTCTCTCTCATCGATGTTTCTAACTATCTCTCTCCTTTCCTCTCTGTAAAAAATCAATAAAATATATTTTTAAAAAATTTGAACAAAGCAGATAGGCAGATACAAGTCCTGAGAGATCAGGTGGCTCACAAAAGCACCTGCATTCAGGTTCCCAGGACCTGGGGCCTCGGGTGTGTGTCGTCCTGTCTTCCCTAAGATGTCTCTGTGGCCTTCCAGAAAATTCCCTCTCATCCTGAGCTAGTGTGAGTGGGTCCTTTGCATCAGAAAGAATTCCAAAGCAGCGGTATGCTCGAGCGGCTCATGGGCGCTGGTAAAATTCAGGAATCCCGTCAGCCGGTCGTTCCATCACCTGGAGGTTGGTGGGAGCGTTTACACCAAGGAAATTGGAACACGCTCTCACCTGGGCTCTCTATTCCCCAGAGCTACTCTGCTTGATGGACAAGACCAGGAGGAACCAGAGCTCCCGCGGTCCTGTCCCGGGCTCCTCAGAGGCCCCTTTATCCGTTTCACAAACACTGTGTTGTACCGGAGCCAGATCATTAGGCTGCTGAGTCACAGAACTAAAGTAACCCCAACCCAGAGCTACTGCCCGCTCTCCCTCAGAAGCACAGCCAAGGTTGGTCAGAATTTATTTGAGGGCACGGACATCAAAGGAAGTGGAAAGGTCCAGGCATCTGCAGCCTGTTGGTGGTCCAACTCTTCTTCGTCCAAGACGGAGTGGGCTCAGGTGTCAGTCGCCCATGGGCAGCCACAGGGCCTTGGTCCGTGCTGCCCGAAGCTCTAGCTCTGGGCCTGCTCCTTCGGCCTCCTGGTCCCAAGCCCGGGGGCAGCCCCTGTCCACCCACACGGGCTTCAGGTTTCCTGCCGAGGCCCATTCCACAAACTGGGAGCCCTGGCACGGAGACAGGGGGATCAGCGTTTCCTCCGGCTTGTTTGATAAGCAGCTGCTTCCTTGGCAACACGGATACTACTGAGGGGGTGCGTGGAGGCTTGACCTACGCCCTGTTGCTATAAGCTCAGCTCCTGGCAAGCAAGGCTTGCGGATGCTGGGGAAACGGGGCTGACCTTTGTGGCTAGGGAACTTCCTCCCCGTCAGCAGCCCACGTTCAAATGGGGCCTGTGGTTTATGTTGACAAGGATTAAAGAGGGTGGGCTCTGGCTTCTCGCTCTGTTGCTAGGGTATGGTCTTTAGAAAGGGGCTGTCCAGTGAGATTAGGTCTTTGGGCCGGGCAAGATCTCAGGCCCTTGTTGCTAAGCACATCCTCTTCCTTAGCAACCAGGGCTCTGAAGGGGAAAGCCCGCAGAACCTGGTTGCCAAGGTGTTTCTTCTCCTTAGCAACAGGAGTTTTAAGGGGGCAGAGCCATGTTCCCAGGAGATGTAAAACAAAGGGTACCTGGGCAGATCCGAAGTACCACAGGGCCTGGACGTCCTGGTGCAAAGCCAGGCAGCGGGTCAGGTGGTCCCGATCTCCTGTCACCACGTTCACCAGGCCGGCTGGCAACAAGGTGGCCATATCCTAGGGGACGGAGAGAGTGGCCACCGGGGTTGGGAGGGAAGGATCTGAGACCCCGGAGGCCGTGGGGGCAGGGGGTGAGCATCTGGGGGAACGGCATGGGGCTCCCAGAAGGACTGGGCCAGGGCACGACTGGTGAAGGCTTGTGGTCTGAAGAACATGGTCCCTGGATCTAGAGGCATGAAGGCTTGGATTCCTGGACAGGGGTTACCATGGTTACCAAGGGGTGAGGGTGGGAACGGAACTCCTGTAGGCCTTGGGGTGCCTTTCATCTGTCTGGAGCCCCAGGGGCTGCTGGGAGCAGCAGCAGGCAGGCGACTGTACCTGGCAGACCTCCAAGGCGGGGATGGGGCAGGTCTCGCTGGGCACCAAAACCACGGAGTTGCCATGGGCCAAGGCAGGGGCCAGCAGGGACACGAAGGCGAGCAGGGGCCACTCGTCCGGGCACACAACAGCCAGGACCCCTAGCGGCTCCCGGAGTCGGAGCACGGGGCCTCTCAGCTCAGCGACCTGCAGGGACAGGGGGGAGGTCAAAGGCGGGGCGGGGGTCCCTGACTACCTCCCAGGCCACCTCCATCACCTGCCCCTTCCTTCCCTCCTCACATCCCCATCTCTGCTGCTTCATCACAACGCCAACAATAATAGAACCAAGTGATGGTTCAGAGCCAGATGGCCTGTGTTCAAGTCCCAGCTCCACCACTCATCAGCTGTGTGACCTCAAGTGAGTTGCTTCACCTCTCTGGGCCTTAGTTTCCCACCTTTCAAATGAGGATGGTAATAGAACCGACCTCGGAGACTTGTTGTTAAAATGAAATGAGCTTCTGTGTAGATGTGGACCACCAAGGTTTGTTGAAACCTAACTGTATTAAATGTCTTTTGAGCCGAACCGGTTTGGCTCAGTGGATAGAGCGTCGGCCTGTGGACTCAAGGGTCCCAGGTTCGAGTCCGGTCAAGGGCATGTACCTTGATTGTGGGCACATCCCCAGTGGGGGGTATGCAGGAGGCAGCTGATCGATGTTTCTCTCTCATCGATGTTTTTAACTCTCTGTCCCTCTCCCTTCTTCTCTGTAAAAAATCAATGAAATATATTTAAAAAATAAAAATAAATGTCTTTTGATAAGCCTTCTGCTTACATTTTTGTCAATGTCTGAAGTATACAGTTTGTGTATATTGACAGAGCTCTTTTATAACTAAAGCAAATTTAATTTTTTTGTACTAGAAAAATGTGAACATTTTAGTTCTTGGTTATGCAAATATGTTAATTCAAAATTAGTTTCATGTGTCAATTAAACTAATTAATAGCTTTGGGCACTTAAAAGAGCTCTAAATTTGCTTGCACATAAAGGCTTAATTTGAGTTTTCCTTGTTAGGGTCACGGGTGTCCTCCCACCCACCCTTTAACAGCTGCCTGGCAAAGACTAACAAGCAGCTGTTAGTTATTGAAGAAAAAAAAAATTGAAAAAAAAATGAAATGAGCTAATGTGTGTAGAGGGATCAGAACTTGGCCCATGGGTTTGTCTGTGTGTGTATTTGTACATTAAAAAAAAAAAGCCCTTTATAATTGATATTCATTAACCTGCACACATTTTAAAGGATACAATTTGATTTTGTTTTTAATCCACACCTGAAGATATATTTTTATTGGTTTTTAGAGAGAAGAACGGAGAGAGAGAGAAACATTCATCAGTTACTTCCCGTAAGTGCCCTGACTGGGGATTGAACCCACAACCTTTTTGGTGTAGGGGACAATGCTCAAATCTACAGAGTCACATGGCCAGGGTTTTGATAAGTTTCAATATAAACATACACCCATGAACCCATCACCACAATCATGATCATGGACTTCGCCCTGGCTGGGTGGCTAAGTCGGTTAACCCGTACACCAAAAGATTTTGGGTTTAATCCCCCGGTCACCTGTGTGAGACTGATGTTTCTCTCTGTCTCTAAAAACAATAAACATATCCTCAGGCTCTAACTGGTGTGGCTCAGTGGATAGAGCGTCAGCCTGCGGACTGAAGGGTCCCAGGTTCGATTCCGGTCAAGGGCATGTACCTTGGTTGCGGGCACATCCCCAGTAGGGAGTGTGCAGGAGGCAGCTGATCGATGCTTCTCTCTCATCGATGTTTCTAACTCTCTATCCCTCTCCCTTCCTCGCTGTAAAAAATCAATAACATATATTTTTAAATAAAAAAGAAAACAAAACATATCCTCAGGTGAAGATTAAAAGAAAAGATCATGAACTTCACCCCCCAAATTCCCTTGTGTTTCTTGTCTCCCATCCCTACTCTCTGACCTCAGATAACCACTGACCTGCTTTCTCTCACTATAGATGAACTTGTATTTTCTAGATATGGAATTACAGTCAACTCTCTTTTTTTGTTTTGTTAATCCTCACCCAAGGATATTTTGTCCACTGATTTTTAGAGAGTGTGGAAGCGGGTGAGGTAGAGAGAGAAACATCGATGTAAGAGACACATCAATTGGTTGCCTTCTACACACACCTTGACTGGACTGGGAGTCAAACCTGCAACTCAGGTACATGCCCTTGACTAGGAATCGATCCCTCAACCCTTTGGTGTGTGGGCTGATGCTCTAACCATTTAGAAACACGGGCCAGGGCTCTATACTTTTTTAAAAATATATTTTATTGATTTCAGAGAGGAAGAGGGAGAGAGAGATAGAAACATCAGCGATGAGAGAGGATCTGGTTTGGCTCAGCAGATAGAGCATCAGCCTGTGGACTCAAGGGTCCTGGGTTCAATTCCGGTCAGGGCACAAGACCAGGTTGCAGGCTCAGTCCCCAGTAGGGGGCATGCAGGGGGCAGCCGATCAATGGTTCTCTCTCACCATTGATGTTTCTATTTCTCTCTCCCTCTCCCTTCCTCTCTGAAATCAATAGAAATATATTTTCAAAAAAGTAAAGTTTGTCTATGTCCTAACACTGGAACTTAAAAAAAAATGTTACCTTACTTGGCAAAAAGGACCTGCATTTGTAACTAAGATTAAGGGCCTTGAGGTAGGGAAATTATTATAGATTATTCGGGTGGCCCAAACTTAATTCTATGAAAATTATAATATTGTTTAATAGGAATATAGTTCTAGTTTCACATGGCTCCCACCACTTTTCAGTACACAATTGGCACAGTCAGAATCTAAGTCTTTACTTTCTCAAGCTGGTCAAATAACTCTTCTGCTTCATATTCACGAATGCCTTCCAATCATTTATTAGAAAAAAACAAAGAACCCTTAACATCAAAAGTCTATTATGATATGACTCCTTTTACATGGTCAGCATCTTTTGGTATGACTCATTCCTTGTTTTTTATATGCATCCCTTACATTCATTGCAGCATTACTTACAATAGCCAAACTATGGAAGCAACCCAAGTGTCCATTAATAGACACATGGTAAAAAAGCTGTGGTACATACATACAGTGGTGTATTATCCAGCCATAAAAAAGAGTGACATCTTGAGAAAGATGGCAGCATAGGTAAATACCTGAAATTGCTGCCTGGCACAACCACTTCAAAACTACAACTAAAAGACAAAACAAATATCATCCAGAACCACAGAAAGGCTGGCTGAGTGGAAATTCTATAACTAGAAAGAAAGAGAAAAATCACAATGAGACTCAGAGGAGGTGCAGAAGTAAAATGCAGAGGTAGGAAGGCGCATGAGGAAAGGGCTGGCAACGGAGGATGCAGCTGTCTTTTTCAATCGGGAGGGAGTCTCAAGCTCCTGACGGCTCTGAACTCCAGTTCCGGGCGAGTCTCTGGGGACCCAGACTCATACGGGGAGAAACTAGACTGTCTGGCATTGGTTCGGAAGGGAGGCTTTCTCTCAGAGGTGCTTGCAGCAATTACTGGGACCCTGAGACCCGGGCCTCTTAGGGCAGGACTGAGGACCAGCCTTAACTGTTTGCTCCGCCCTTTGATCCCCTGAGACCCCGCCCCACCCCAGCTGTGCACAGAGGCTTTTGCGTATAAATGACCTGGCCCTTTACAATATAAAATTACCTAATTGCAGCTGGGTCACAGAGACCCAGAACATTCAAAAGAAGGCCCAAGGCCCCACAGCAGCTTGCATTGCTTCACAGCTGGGCCTCATCTGGGCACCTCCAAATCCCCAAAAAAGAAGAGGAATCTCTCCATAGCTCCTGCTGGATAGCCTCATGTAGAGGCAAAATTAGCACCTCCTTAGAAATCCAAGAGTCAGTGTACCCAGTGGTCAGAGTGGGACCATCCAGATTACAACTCCTCAGATCCATAAGGGACACACTCAGGGGGC